GAAAATGGATTATCAAAGTATTCATTAGACCTGCTAATGGATCGAACGACCGAAGCCGCGCGATTATCGCGGCTCCGCTATAAAGACACCGAAGCAGGCCGTCTAGAATAGCTTCCGTCGACGCTATGATCGATGCCCCGTTCGCTGGAACCGGAGCTGCGACGTAAACGCAGCCTTACGTGCGTGCGGATCGTGCGCGGATCGATAGGTCCGCCCGCAGAGCGGCGGAATCGTTCGAAGAACGGGCGCAGGGATCGTTAATGGCGGCCGCGTCATTAACGGTGCTTGATTGCGCTGTATCGCGATTGGAAATCCCTTCGAAAATACTCGATTCCGTGAAAACCGCTCGCCCCCGAGATATACCGTGGCCCTTTTGTTCGACGATACCGCGACGCGTGAACGCTCCGCCGCATCGAAGTTCGCGCGAGGAAATAAACGCGGAATGCGCGTCGCCGGTGTTCGATCGTATCGCGAGGAACGAGCAGGTAGTCGGAGAGTCGCCGCTGGAAATCTTACAGTTTGCGAGACGAGGGGACGGTTGGAACGAGGAAATCGGATTTGAATATTTCCTTTCATTTGTTTCGCGTGGATATTATTGAATAATGCGCATTGAACGATGCATTGATACGAGAGAATTACGATGATAATACTAATATAGGTCAAAGTTGATTAACTGACGTTCCCAGGATTCAATTATTCAAGATTTAGTGACTACAATTTCCCATGTTTCTTACAATACCACTCATTCCTTCGTAACATTGACATAAAGAATGATTTGCAATTCAGTGTCACAATTCTCACAAACTATCCCTAATTACATTTCACCTACACTCATCAACTATCCCTACAACAGCAATCTATTCATCTACACCCTAGAAGTCAAATACAATCACACCTCAATTTTATCAAACTACACCAAACCTCCGAATAATCCAACCTAGAAACCCATCCCATCGAATCCGATGAATCCCAGCTGGAACTTCTCCGTTCACCTACACTTCGTCAACGATGCCCCAACAGAAATTCATTCATCTACCCTAGAAGTCAAACTTACCGAAGCATAATACCGCATCTCAATTTTATCAAACTACACCAAAACTCCGAACAATCCAACCTAAAATCCCATCGAGTCCCACGAATCTGGAACATTTCAATTCGATGCAACAATTCCAACGAAAAACACCCGCCGCGAACGTGCACCGAACAGCGAACGCTCTCGAAACGTCTTCGCGTATCTCCGTCAGCATCTCCGAGATCTTCCCAGCGAGAAGAAGCCCCCTAGCAATCCGCTGGAAAGCGTCCGCCGTTGAACATCCCCCGGCCCGTGTACACCTATCCGCGAATAAGTGCATCGAACGCGGCGCGCGCATTAACCGCGGGGATCTTCCCACGCCAACAATGAGAGGAACAAGACGGGAATAAAGTGAACGTCAGGGAACGGTGTCTCGGCTGGCGTTAAAGTGTCCAGCCGTCCCCATAGAAGGCTACCGGGCAACGTTCGTCTCGCCATATTAGTATTCCCGGCCGAATGGCGGCGCGGAACGCGGGAAGAACCTCTTTCGGTTCGCGCTATCTCCGCGCTGCCTCGCCGAAACTTACGGCAGCCCTCTTGAGCCGCAGATAACAAGACACGTGCTATGCAGATGTTGCGGCCGGAGGATCCCCGCGGGACGCGCCGCCGTGATTTAGGCTAATTATGCGCGACCGGGCCAACCCCGGCTCCGCCAGCCATCGTAACTAAACACCCCAACCCGCCGAAACACGTAACGCGACCCGCTCGCGTCCGCCACACTCTGCGCGCTTTACGTGCCGCCGTGTCCGGATCGTCTTGTTACGTGGATCGTCCGGTTTACGAAGGGTTGGCCGTGTAGCTGGGATTATGGGGTTTTCCACGTTTTCACGGCGCGATCCTTGCTCGGGGCGCTTTGTTTTTGTAGGATTGACCGCGACGAAGGGTGAGATGCATAGAGATTGTTGGAGGGTATAGTTGGATTTATTGAGATTCCGAGCGGACTTGATTTGATCTACTTTCCAGACCATTTCGAATATCGGATGCTTCGAGATATCAATAACGAGACAAGTTCTAGTGTTAACCCTTTGCATTCGAGAGGTGACTCTGAGTCATTCGATTTGACATGTGAAATATCTAGATAAAATAGCTTTATTGCTTAATTTATCTGTGAATTATCGTTGAATTAGTTCCAAACGATGTCGACTATATCTCGTTGGGAAGTGTTGAGTATTTCCAGGCAGAAGCTTTCGAGTGCAAAGGGTTAAGCGTGCAATCAATATGCATATATATTCTCATTAATTACTTTCAAGGAACATCGTCTACACCTCATTAGAGAATCTCGAATATTCCATTGAGTTTATATATTTTATTGTATCGATAATCGGGAAGTTTCGAGCGAGGGGTCGATCGCGAAGCACCGTTCGCAGCGTATTATTTCGAGAGCGAAGAACAGAGAACGAGAGAAGGATGCGTACTCCGTTGCGAATCCGAAGAAGAATAGTCGTAAACTCGAGGCGTATCGCGAGTCTCTAGGCTGCGTCATTGATATTCGAAGAGGAGACCGTCCGCCGATATATTTAGAACCGAACGCACTGAAAATTTCGTATCTATAGGAGACGATCGAGGCTTGGCTCGATTATGCGTGGCCGGCGCGCTCGCTCGCGGGACCTTGTGACACTTAGAGCGCCGACGCCGGTCATAAGTCGTGCGCCGTAATAACGCGGTGACGAGGTGCACCGGAGGATCGGCAATCTCCATACGGCTGCGCACGAACAAAGGACTGCCGGAGACGGCCAATAAGTGGTCCGAGGCCGAGGAGGAACGACGCGGCGACGCGGAGGGGCTCTTAATATTCGACGGTCCGCGATAGAAATTCACTTTGCCCTCGTGAACGGGACGGTCTTTGTCTCGGCGGTGACTCGATGGTAATCTGCGTCTGCTCGCGGCGATTCGTCGGCTACGAATTACGCTGTAAACAATACCGGCGGCCGATCGTCGCGAACGTTGCCAGAGGACGAGCCCCTATGTAATATCGCGGTAGATTCGCGATTAATCGAATACAATGAACGGAGAATTGAAGAGCAAACGAGTCGATGGAAAGAAACATCGCGGAAATTAACCCTTTGCGGACGAAGGTTCTTTTAAATGTACAAAACCTTCGGCAGATGAAGCTATATGATAGGAAAAACAGAAACTACGTGTTGATCTCTTACTGTTTTAGTAATTCGATCAGTTGTTCGCGACTCAGTGCTGGAAACATGAAAATTTCATGACGAAATGTCGACATCCGCGAAGGGTTGATGTCCTTTGATATATAGCTTTTGAAAATTGGTTTAGTGATTGGATCAGGGAATGTAGGCTCTGCGAATTGACAGAAATATCAAAAAATCGACTTACCAGTGGTGACTCGAATATTCTTGTCCTTCCTTACCGTGATTCAGAGCGAATGTAGAGTATGCTAAGGATTCTCCCGTTTCTTGGAAGGAATTACTAACGGTAAGGTAGTCACGTTGATCGCATTCGAGGAAGGAATGATTAGGCTTGGAATAAAGTCTCATTTGAAACGTCAAGCTTCACAGTCCCGACAATCTGTCCTTACTCACTACGATCACAGTTTGAAACTGATTACACATTCTTATTCCTTCTACATCAATCACACCGATTCCACCTCAGAAATACTCCGAGCATTTAGAGGACGATCGAAGCGAACGACGCAAAATTACAAATTCCGGAACAGCCTTGCAAATGCGAGCGCAGGGGTCGCGAGTTCGAAGGTAGTCGGAAGCTCCGACTAGATTACCGCGGCTCAATTGCCAGGGTCAAGGGTCGGCGAAGCCGTACAGGGCACCGTGCAGGTCGTGCCTTCCGCCCTTCGGCCCCCCGCCATCGTTTCGGCGCATGAGATATCGGCGAACGGTAGCCATTTTGTATCGTCGCGCAGGATACGAGCGGCGACAGGACAATGGTCGCCACTTGTCCGCCGATTTTTTGCGAGAAACCGAATTCCAGGCCGCCCGCGGCGAGCCGGCGTTGTTCCGGTGCGCGGCGCACGATGAAAAGCGCGCCGCCCGGCCTGATCCGATCTACCATCGGCCGTGGATCATACGTAACAGAGCGAATCATATCGCGCCGGGCCGCGGGGGACGCCGGACAATTGGCGGCAACGTGAACGCCGAACGTGCGCGGCAGTTGGCTGCGCCCGGCGCAGGGGGTGCGGAATACGATGCTGCGAACGTAGATCGGTAGATCGACGATCGCCGCAATAGGACATAATTTATTCCCTCCGCGCCGGTACGCCTCGTACGGTGTAGATACTCGTGATCGTCCGTCCCCTCGGTTCGTTCCTGACGGTTCGACATGATCGAAACACTCGTTGAACCTTTTTAACCCCTTGACATACAATAAGTTGAGACTCGTGGAGATTTCGAATATTACTTTGAATTCTAATTAGATATTAATCTTCTGCTACCAGTGATTATATTGTAGGGTAAACGTAGACATAGGATACGAATTTTTCTTTCTCAATAATTAACGATGATGTATCGGTCACAGCGTATAGTAACAACACTCAGCGTATGTGAAAATATGAAAAAATCCAGTGACACGATAAATACCTTAACACTAGAAAACAAATAAATTATAAAAATTGTAACGATAAATTATTTTCGGTTTCTTTGAACATTCATTATAGTGTTCAAGTGAAGCTATTTCCAAGATCATTTCAGATGTTTCAGTCATTTTGACTGGTACGTAGTTCTGGTGTTAAGAATCCCAGATGTCTCTTCATAATTAGATCAAGAATGTATCTATGTATTTTTGGTAAGAGATTCGAATGACGGAGTTGTATTATTTTCTAAAGAGACGCTTGACAAACGACGTGAAACTTTACCGTCAACTTCATTTCCTCCGACGATCTCGCGTAACTTATAAACCTATAAATCCTGTTCGTTCGGCGACCTCAATTAATCATCTCCGTTCTCGTTGACAGGTGTCCGCGGGCCAGCATATGCAGCTAACGGGAGACCTGAAGGTGTCCGTGGCGGCTCAGCAGGGCATGTACTTCACCCAGCAGCAGACGCCGAACCAGTCCGGACCAGGTGGCCAGACCGACACCTATTGCTCGGTCTCCCAGTCCCAGACCATCAACTTCACTCAACAGAGTCTGAGGCAACGAGCAGCGGCGGCGGCGGGCGGTGTCCCCCAGCCTGCGGGGGCGGCCGGCGCACGCAGCCATCCTCAGCAAGTGCCGCCGAATCAAGTGGACCAACATCAGCACGCGAAGATCATCCAGCAGCAGCAACTGATGCGCGCCCAGCAGGTACGTCTGGCTTTCTTATTTCTTTCTTTGTTCCTTCATTTAACCGGTTAACTGTGTTCGACGAGTATACACGTCATAAAGCTTCACATGATACTACTTCTTTCAGCGATGAATTCTTTATTTTCTCACGTAAACATGTAATTGTTCTTTGTTTCGCTTCGATCTTTCATTAAAATATACTCCACGTGCATTCGTCCTTCGACGAGTACACGCTCCATTTTTCGATTTTATTGCGCGCAGAATGAGAGATTTTTCCAACTAAATTCCACAGTTAACTGGTTAAATTGGTGGACAGGAATAACAGTCTAATATGTTTGCGTTCGAGAGATTTTGTGGGATGTTTTTAGATTAATTAGATATTGATGTTACAATTAAGAAAGAAGGTGAAAAGCAACTCATTCTCAGAGATACGAGAAATATTCCCATTCTGCTAGTGATGCGTTGACTATATATATATATATAGCAATATATAGCGTTATAGTAAACCACCCCCGATATCGATCCCAGCCGCGCAACCACGTTCATCTTTCCACGGCGCAACGCGCGAACACGCTCGGTTTATGGTTCAATTACCTAATAGCAGCGAACGGTCGTTATCTACTGCCGATAGAAATGGTACTTAACCGATACCGGGAAACAGTAGGACGCGCTTAATCCGAGCGATTACCGCGTTCGCGGTCGGAACGTTCGCCGGAAGCCGCGCGAATGGAGCTTCTTCGCTGACTTTTTAGCGACCTTGGTTTTTATGTCGATCGGAATGTTCGATTAAACGCGTTATTACAATAACTCCGTTATCGAATCGATAAGGCAGGTTTCTAAGGAACCTCTTCCACTGATTTTTAACATTTTCGAATACCTTCTGTACCTATTTTGACCTTTAAAAGACCTAGATCATTCAATTCCTTGCTCTCCAGTTCACAAAGAAACTAACACACCTCAATATTAACACATTAAATAAGAAAAAATTAGAAATTGTTCAGTTAAAGGTGTCAAAACTCAAAAGCAGAAATCCTTAACTCAACCCTTCGATTGTCACAAAGGTTTAAACACGGAACAGATTAAAAACACAAATAGTCCAATCAAAAGAAACAATCCAAAACTAAGAATTTCATTTCAAATAAACCTAAACGGAACGTCTCCTCGAACGCGGAAAACTGTCACGCCGGCCATCTTGTCGCTAACAGCCATCCCAGCGAGGCCCCCCAGAAACCGACGACATCGCCGACTCGGCAACGTCTCGTTTCACGGTTTAACGGTTTCAAAGACCACCGAGGTCCCCCCTGCCCCCCATACCCGCGATGTAACGATTACACGATTCGTTTGGTCGGTAAGACGACGGAGTCTGCGGGACGAATTGATCGGGACTCGTTCTCGCTTCGTTGGAGCCGAGACGCGCGTAAACGGCCCCGCATTCCGGGAAACTTCGCCGGCCGCCTATCTGCCGATTATCAAACGGCAGAAAGGGCGATCGCGATATCGCCGTCCGACGTATTATCCGAAACATTAAGCACCGCGTCCGTCGCGCTCTCTTTTCCGTCGGGCCGCGCCGCGCGGCCGCCGACTCGCGCCCTCCCACCGCGGACCGGCGTGCAACAGGTATCGCGCGCGGCTCCTTTGCAACTTCTGTTCCGCCGTGTGCCGAAAGAATCCGGCGCAAACAGGACGCGAGCTCCTTCCAGCCGGCGCCGCGCCGGAACAATGAATGGAAAGTTTTTCTTGTAACCGGGAAATCCGCGCTCGCGTGCACTTCCGCCGGATGACGCGACGACGAATAATGCCTCCGCGGAGCTGGCCCCTTACCCACTTTGTTTTTGCGCGCGGCGACCCACCGGGTTTCACCCTTTGGCATCGCGAGCAGGATTTCTGCCGTTATTCCGTCTGATGCGGGAAGTTCTGAAGTTTATTTCGTGTCGGTTAGGGTGTTTACTGTTTAACCAGTTGACTGTGGAATTTAGTTGGAAAAATCTCTCATTCCGCGCAGGACGAATGCACGTAGAGTATGTTTTAATGAGAGATCTTTCACAAATTTTCAATTTTTCTCTTCGCTTCTTTTCGTCGCAGACACCGATGTTCTCTCGTTTGCAACCCGATTATTTTCGTGCACACGTTTCTCGTCCTTCTCCCCCGGCGCCCACATTGTTTCCGACGCAGACGCGTGCGTGCGCCCACACATTATCTCCGCCCCTTTTTTTCGCCGCGTCGGCTGACACCGTTTAGGGCTAGCAATTTTCATCGACGCGTAAACTCGTTGCCCTTTGTCCCGTGGCGTCGCCTCGTATCGCCGAGCGCCGTTCCAGATTGCTCCGGGTATAATGCGACGCCTGGCAACTTTGCAATCAGCCGGACATTTGCATGCAGTCATTTACATCTTGTCCGGCACCGGTATTCTTCATCTTTTATGCATTCCCGATTTGCATCCGAAGAAACTGTGTCCGCGAGCCCCAATTACTGACACCGAAGCCACCTTTTCCACGAATCGCCGCGAACGATCCGCCTCGCGAACGTCGCTGGAAAACTGTCGAGAAATCGTTACACTTTTCCTCCCGACAGTCAGTTTCGTTAGTTTCCTGAAAACATAGAAGAATTTCGGAATTCTTTGATGGAAAGGAGAAATATCATTGAGAAATGTGGATTGGATTATTTCAATTCGATTCACCTCGATTTCTTTTACACTATCAATGAATAAATATATTGTTAACGAATTCATTGCAATATCAATTTCGATAAATTTATAGAAGCTAGATTGAAACAGAGATCGTTTGTTCGATTAATCGTTCTATCAATTTGCTCTGCGAGTTCCCCGAAGGAAACGGGGGTTCAATGAATAGATTCTATTAATACGTTCGTTAATATTCTTTCGCGTGTGGTTGATGAGAAATCAACGCGCGGTGGAAGATGATTTCATAAGAGGCCACGTTATTTTCAGGTCAATTTTATTAAAGAAGATTAATCGTTTGTACAGCGGTCGTCCGCGCTGCGCCTGCCGGCGTGTTCCCGTTGCATCCTCCCATATTTATAGTTCATAAGCGGCGGCCGCGTCGCTGAACATTCTTCGAACAGAATGCGCCGGGAATTTAGAAAACGCCCCGATGCCGGGTATGAATCATTCGAGTCGTACGAGCCGCGCGCTTCCTGTTTAATTTACAACAATAACCAACGATGGGACGTCGCACGGTTTCGCCTATCATAAACGCAACAATACACCGGCTCGTGTTATTTCCTCCGCTCCGTTCGAAGGAAATATTGCCCATTCGAACCGTCCTCGGTGAATCTGTTCCTGAGCTGACGAGACCGAGGTAAAGAATTATCGGCGAAATAAAGGCAATCCGTGTCGACTGTACGCGGCAGGTTTCAGTAATTCAGAGGAGAGAATATAATTCTCAGGAAGTATGCAGTCGATTCCTCCATTGAATGTTCCAACATTCCTGTGAAACTATAGTTTTCTATTTCGGGAGCCAAATAATTGAAGATTCTGAAAGTCTGTAAAATATCAATTCTAAAAATTGTAGAACTTAATTCTGAGGACCCTACAGCTTAATCCTAAAGATCTCAGAAATTAATTCTAGAAATCTCAGAAATGAATCTCAAAGATCCTAGAAATTGATTCTAAGAATCTCACAGATTATTCCTAGAAATCCCCGGAAGTTAATTCCAAAAATCCTAGAAATTAATTTTAAAGATCCTAAAACTTAGTCCTAGAAATCTAAGAAATTCTCAGAATCCCAAAAGTTAACTCAAAAAATCCCACAAATTAACTCTAATGACCCGAGAAACTAATTCAAACCGACAAGAACGTTCCCACGTACCGACTGCTTCCAGGACAACAAAATGGCGGAGCATTGGTCAGACAAAGATCGATATCGAGCTCGTTGAACGTATCGACATTATCGTCGTCCCGTCGCGACCACGTTGTACCACGATTTATTAACGAATGACTCAGTTATCATACAACCATTGCGCTAACAACGTTAAGGTATCGAAGCTGAGCGTGCTCCAGTTACTAATTGTAGGTTTCGCGCAATTGGTTAGTCATCCCTCGTCACCGTCGACCTTCCACTCCTCGTTTCTCTTTTTTTTTTCGTCTTTCCCGTCCTCCCTCGGTGAAACGCGCGTTCCGTACAGGAAAACAACAGCCGCGCATCGAGAAACAATTCTCCGATCGGTCGATCGATGAATTTTAACTTCGGCATCGATTCGTCGACCCGATCCACGCGCCCATTCAAATTCAATACGTCGGTTTCCAGTACGTACGCCTATTACCATCGATCGATCGCATTCGAACGTATCAGAAATACAATTTCAGTCAAATATAAAATACCACCTCGATATTTAATCATCCCGCAAGTAATGTTTCATATCTCGTTCCCCGAAATACCGTTGAAATCTATTTCACAAATGGCACCGAAAAATGGATACTGAAATAAGAAATCTTGCACAACGATGATCAATACATCCACCATTGAAACCCAGGAAAACAATGTTAAACAATTAACAATACACTGGAAATTGCTGCGAAACAAATCCTAAACTCAGAATTTCGATGTATCATGTATTAGCATTAAAAAAACGTCTGTATGTTAACCCTTTGCACTCGAAAAATTCGTCACTAGAAATATTCAATTTATTTCATAGAGACATAGATGACATTTCTTTAAACTAATTTAATAGGAATCTATTCACAAAATAAGGGGAACAAGGGTATTTTATTTCCACATTTCACGCATCGACAGATCACTCAAGATTTAATGTTAAATACGAAATTTTATAATTTTGATGCACCAATCTAGAGGTGACTGAGAGGCACCTTTCGAGTGCAAAGGGTTAATTCTACCTCGACCTCTACCTAGAAACGAATTCCCAGCATCGAAAACGCAGCAGAGCCGCAGTTTAGCCAAGTACGCAACATAAAATGCGACTTCGCGTTAGATCCACGCTCGCATCCAGCCTTTCCATCGACGCGTTTCGCCTGTAACAGCAGGATTCGGTCGGCGAGTCGCGGACAATGATAGCGAGCGAGTTTAGAAAGCCGCGAGAGAGCCGGCCGGCAGATTCCGAAGGAATAATCGGCGACGTTGGTCACGGTATGCATCGATGACTCGTCTCGCGGCCGGCATTGCCGTCGACCGCGGAAGTTTTCGAGAGCTCGTCGCCGCGCGTTGCACAAGCCTTCCCTCGCGCTGCCTCTCCTCCCTCTCCTCCCGCGTGCCACCTACTCGCGCGGCGTATTGCATTTCCACTTCCTGGTGTTACGCGGCCGCGACGAAAGCCCGCGGAACGCGACGACAATGAAGGCAACGGCGACGGAAAGCGAGCGGGACGCCGGCCGAACGTTTTCCCCGTTGCCAGCGGATACCTTCACCGCTTCTCTCGCATTTTCTCCGGGCCTCTCACTCTCCCCCTTCTCTCGCCGCGAGATATCGATAGGATACCGAACTCTCATCGACGATAAAAAAACTAACGAATTTCGAATCGCTTCAATAACGTGATAATGTGAATTTTGAATGATTAATCCTTTGGCTACTGTCGATGTTTAGAACTACCGAGCTTAATACGATTGATATGTAATGTTTATAAAAATTGTAATAGCCCTTTGCACTCTGTAGGCTCCAATATTGCACCAGTTATAATATCAAATATTTCAACGAATCAAAGGAACTACCCTAAAATTGTTCGATTTTCCACGCATCCAAATTCTCTACTGAGAAGGAAAATGAAAGATCGAAGGGATGTTACAGCATTCTTAACTTCTAGTAGAGATACCATAAAAACTAGCGGCAGTTGCTGATAAATTACAAAACCATCTGGAGTGCTTTGCACTCGAAAGTTTTTCACTTGAAGTATTCTATTCTTTCCAATTAGATGTAGACAAGGTTCTGTAAAATAGATTTAACGAGAAATCATACATGAATTAGGTATAAAGCTATTTTCTTTCAACGTTTTACGTATTGATGCAATATACAAGGTTTATAATTTTGTATCAAATCATCTAGCCTTCCGAGTGCAAAGGGTTAAAAGAAGGAAAGAAAACGTTGACACAGTCGCGCGGACCGATCGAAAGATGCGAGAAAGATCGGCCAGGGGAGAGAGCAGCGAGGTGTTTTTCCATTCTCAAGGAGTACGGGGCCGCAACCTGCGATTAGGCGAACGCCACCGCCCGCGCCGTCGCCCTGTTGCTCCCGCGCCGCGGTGAACGGAGGAAACTGACCATCCTCGGCACCGACACGTAGCAATTTCGCGGCGCCGTTTTTCCCATTGATAGCCGGCTAGAGAGCGAAAGGATACTCCTTTTGATCACGTACCCCGAGACGTGATCAAATTCCTGGATTCTCGCCGGGAATCGATCGAGGTCTGGTTACGCCGCGCGATAAAACTGCGCTTATTCGCGCGGTGATTGGACAGGGAAACCGGTCTCCGTGATTAGGCGATGCCGTGTCGATCGGGAATACCGTGTTCGGTTGTTCGACACGCCGCGATCGACCAGCGAATCGTTTGGCAAACGAAAATTTGATCCATGGTGGTTTTCCTAGGTTTTGGATGATGCACGGATGGAAATGTTACTTCGTGGAGGTTGGTTTCCTTTGGATTTAAAATTGTACAGGTGAAATATATACCGATCGCGAGTGATTGGCGGATTACAGAGGATTTCAAGTTGTAGACCATCGTATTATCGGGAATCGAGTTATCGAGGTTCGACTGTGCCGGCGTGCAAACCTTTCGCAGTTTAGTTCATGATCAGTCTCAATTGCAAACAATTTGAAGTAACTCGTTGCTAAGGGAAGTGAAAGTTCCCCACTTATGTACCGATTTGCTCGGAATCGGTGAGATCCCGTTCGGCTGGCGAACCATTAAAAAGCTTAGTCTGCGTGTCGCGAAACTAGGGTAAGGCGGAGTGAATGTTTTATACGTTGCTTCGGCTATCCCAGCCGTTCAACCCTTTGCAGTCCGAGGTATTCTTGGTTTCCCGTGGTGAAACTTGCCTCGACGTTATTTAATCGTACGCTCGTATGTAGTTCAATCATTAGTTAGTACTCAGGAAGCATTGAAGTTCTAGCAATGTATAATGTAATTACTGTATTGTTAGTAATCACAGTAGAAATAGGAAAATTCTTAACTACAATAAAATTGAACTTTACGTTGCAAAAGGTTAACCTCTTGCGCTGGAATTTGATTCAGAGACCTGACAAAACTGCGAAGAATTTCGCTTTTACCCATTGTACGCGGATAAGTACGCTAATCTTTTATTAATCACTACAGTGATACGTTTCAAAATATAAAGATCTATTTCGTCAATAATAATTTACTTTGTCGTCAGCACAAACGCTCTTGCATCTTCCTTTCTTTCTCGTTCGTTCGAGAGCATCGCAGTCTCCCTCCTCGAACACACAACGCACACACACACACATACTCACACATCCTTATTTATATTTTCTTACAAAAAGAACCTGTGTTTCGAATGCAATGTACGTCTAATGCAACCAGACTGTTGATGTTTATTACATGTCGTCGGCAATTTTGGAAGAGAAACGTTTTTCCAGCGCAAGAAATTAAAGAATAAAGTTGACACAGTGGACTCCACGTAATCGAGATGCATTGTTTCCCTTTTTCCAGGTGATGCAACAGCAACAGCACATGGCCGGCGGAATGGGAGGCGTGAGACCGCCGCCGCCGGAATACAAAGCAGCGGCGCAGGCCCAAATGATGCATGGTATCGGCATGGGTCAGCAGGCGAGGTTTCCCAATACCGGGCCTATGCGCAGGGTTACGCAACAACCGATGCCACCTTCAGGTCGGTACCACGATCGACAATCGATCCAACCAGTCTCCTTTAACCCTTCATCGCGAACTTTGATAGCAAGATAATTTTTTCATAATTGATCATCACTACTTCCTATTACCATTTCGCGTCTCGATCGACAGATTTCACCCTCTCGTCGTTGAACCTTTCGAGAAATTCGAGAAAACAATTGCGAGCGAAAGGTCGTCGAAGTTTCCTTATTATTCGGGGCATAATTTGCACAGTCGTTAATAGACTCCAGCTGGGAGCAAGGCAGTCAGATATTCGGGTGCAAAGAACGAAACGGGCTAACTCGCTCCGTCGAAAAGCGGAAATCAACCGCGATCCGTTCGACTGTTCCACTCGCCGCGCTAGAAACGCCGATGGTCCGTCACTTTCATATGCGCTAACCGAACTCGGGAGGCACTCCGGCTAATGAGAATCCGACGCGGTGCTATCGATTCTTTCGTCCACCATCGGGGAACGTACGTTTTCACGGTCTGTCGATAGCTGCTCCGATTTCCCGGACTTTCCTTCGGCAGCTGGCGATCGGTAAACGATACTCGGGATAATAGGCACTTGAGCTAATCAAAAATGGAATCGCGGAAGACAATTTCGATTTCGAAAGTATCCTTCGGCACCTTTCCCCGGGAAACTTCGTAAATTTGACTCGTTCGAGCTGATTTTCTACATTTTCATGCATTACCTTGAAAACTGCAATTCTGTAACGAGAAATTAAAGACAATATTTCGAAACTATCGACTGAAGAATATCGATTCCCTTTTAATATTTCCATCTTCGATACACGATCGGTTGCTAAGTGATTAACTACACAAGATGGGAAGTAGAATTCGATGAAACTGTCAGATTGTAATAAGTTTCTTTTACGCTCCGAGGACAATCTTTTAATAGACTTCTTCGAGGACAGGCTTTAAATAGAACTTCCGAAGATGGCACCGTTAAATTTCCAGTAAAACAGAAGTCGCTGCATCAGAGTCGATAATAAATTGCATAACGTGAACCGTAAAATCTTGTATGTCTATTACACACTTAATAAAGGGGAAGAAAGTGGAACAGTCTGATAAACGCGTACAGAAGCGGGGCACTGAAATTCGAAAATACTCTAGAACCGAAGTTAATAAAGGCCCGCGAGAGGCTCGTAATATCGAAACGCGAAGAACAGGAATATCGCTTATTCCAATTCCACTATTCAAAGCGTTCGTTTGCACGTCGTCCCCTAATGAACGTGTTTGCGCGGATCGCGCAGGAAAAAGGACGCGCGTATTTCGCGAGGATAACCGTGATTATCGGATTACCCCGATTATACGGGCGAACCGAGCCGCGTCGGGTCCGAACGGGAGCAAAAGGAACTCCGGCGTTTTATAATCGTGAAAAACATCGGTGCCCGAGTCCGCTCGAATGTTTACACGGTTCTTAATCGCCGATACCGGACGAGTTACATATCCGAGGGAAATGAACCCGATCTCTCGCCGGATCCGCTCTAGATCGGAACGAAAGAATGCGAAACCGGGACGCGCACGATGAACAGGAGAAAGGGTGGAAGGGGAGGAGGCTCGTAAATATCGTTACACGCTTACACACGACGCGAGGCTTCTGCGTCGGTGTGGTCGGAATTACTTTCATGAGGTTCTATGCGATCGAAAAATCTGGATCGTCCGAATGAAACGCGAACGATCGGATGACGTCTTTCAGACGGCGTGCCTTTGATTTTAACCCCTTGCCGCACAATGACGATTTCTAGACTAATTTGACAACAATCAATGTTGTTCATTATCCACGGATCGAAGCACATAACTACTTCGCTGTTACTGAACTTTGTTGAAGACAATGTTCTATAGTTGAATCTAGTGTAATCTCTCACCGCATTTTCCTCAGAAATCGAGAATCTATTTCCAACTGTCTCTCAGTAATTCATTCACACCTCTCAAAGGAACAATCGTTACCATTAGCTACCGCGGGACTAGCGAAGCTACCTCTACGAAGATTTGACGCAGTCTGCATATCATAAATATATCACTGCGATTCCAGACTAATAGAATCTCCCACTACTCAATTACATTAATCAACAACGTACACAATCGACAACAAAGACAACACTACAGCGTGACACCGTTGAAAAAGTCAACATACAAAAGCCACACAGTAGCTAAAAGTTGAACCCAAGAACGCTTCGAGTCCCTGGCCCAATAAAACAATCCCAAACACCTCGTCCACCAGGTGAGACACACCTGGCCCAGCATGCTCGACTCGGGAACGTCAACCAGAGCCTCATTAACCGCGTTACATCGGTTCGCGCTCGATAAGCGTACAAATTGTCGCCGCGAGACATCGCGATAAACGCTGCTCTACCCGCGTACACACCTAGCCGCGTAGAGAGTACGCGTTAAAAGTCGTCCCGCCTAAAGACCCATCCAGCGAGGATTACCGGTAATTAACCGGCGCGGCAGTTCCGCGAAAAGGAATATTAATATCGCCGGGTCCGGCTCGTCTCGCCCTAGGTCCGATGATGAGGCCGCAAATGGCGCAGCAGCAGCAGCAGGCGTTGCACGCGGCCGGTGGCAACATGTACATGGGCGGCGGCGGTATGGCCGCCATCGGCGGCATGCACCAGATGCACCAGCGTCTCGGCTATCCTAGGACCAACAATCAACGGCCGCCTAACGTCAGCGTCGGCCCGCCCGACGGCCTTGGGAATAGCATCGCCGGCCGCGGCGCCCAGCAGGAGTGGCGACACGTCCTGATGCAGCAGCAGGGCTTTCAGACGCAGATGCGATCGCAATTCAACCAGCAAGGTCATCAAGGTAAGCGGCGGCGGCGGCGGCGGCCCCCGGGACCCCTGCGCAGCTCCGCGCGCGGCGCCTCCTCGCGTTGTGCGTGTAATTGTGCACCCGACGGGCGGGGCTCTGATCGTTAAATTTCGCTACATTGCGATAATGATACAGTCCGCGCGCCACGCGGCCATTGTCGACGGCCGCCGCGCGTTCCGTCCGTGTCGTCTTATTGCCGCGTTAACGCCGCCGCGAGGAATTTCTGTCCCGTAATTGCCCGTAATTTCGTTTCCCGTTTCCACTCCGGACTACACCTGTTGTCCGTTTCGAGTACTTTTCTGCTCGGAGGATCGGACGCCTGGATCGCCGATGATCTAGCGCCGCGGACCGCCGCGGAGGTGGGAACGGCTCTCAGGAGTTGTAATGCTTGTAATACTTTCAACGCGTTGACTAACACTGACTGCCACGAGTCCTATCGAATCAGATTTTGTTGGCTGAGATGTAAGGAAGATAGTAGAGCAATTACTCTGGAGAATCTTAACTGTTAATTTCCCGCGGAATTAACACTAGGACTACCGTACCAGTCAAAACTGGTTTCGATTTTTTTGTTTAGCAACTATTGATTCGAAGCATTGAATATTCGAAATGATTTTGAAAATAGTTTCATTTGAGTACTATAATGAAGAAACTGAAAAGAATCTTTGTTACAATTTTTATAGGAATTGCATATTAATCGTATTAAATGCTCGGTAGTTCTAGTGTTAAGAAAACTGTTTCACCGCATAGTTTTGGCGAGTATTCAGCAGGGAATCATTAAAAAAAAATTCAAAGCCATTTCTAAAACACTCCCAATGGAGTGTTCTTTATTCTTCTTTATAAATAGTAGTCAACTTCGAGTAACTTCTAACACCACGCTACGGAAGCAGCAGGAATGCCGTTGAAGAGATCGTTGAACGTTCGCGCGGAGGATCGCTCGATCCTAATCAGGCCGGGATGAATTTAAGTGAAATGAAACCGTTCCGCTTCGGCCGGTGTTGCAGGTGGATTCGGAATGGGCGGCACAGGCGGAATGCAGATGAACGCCGCACAGATGCAGCATCAACAGTTGATTCGCTCCCAGAGCGGAGGTATCGCTGGCTCCGGCATGGGCAACACCACTCAGATGCAGCAGCTACTGTCGCAGCAACACCAGCAGCAGACATTAGCGATGCAGCAGAGTAATAATCAGATGTCACTGCAGATGCAAATGACGCAGTCCTCGTCGGTCAACTCTGTCAGCAGTACAGGCACGGGTGAGTCTTGGCCCGCGGCCGTTCGGTTGGCACCGAGTCCCTTGCACTTCCGGTCCGGTTGCGGCGGATCGGAGGGATTCCGCGTTGTACGAGGCGTTCGTTTGCCAAAGTGGTCAACTCTAACGGAATTAAAATAGGGGAAACAGATCTGCTGATTAAGTGTTACATCACTGGAACTTCGAAATATTCGAGAGTTGAGTGGTTCGGCTTGGGAATTCATCGAAGTATTGTACGTTTATATTAATTTCACGTCCGTAACTCTTTGCGTTGTTTCTGGATTAGTAGAGTAATTAACGCAGTTGGAACGAAGAAATATCGTTAACTGGAAACAGGAGTTGTTTGTAATATAAAGATATTCGTTTTTGCGTTTCAAACCGTTGGAAAGAGTCTTTTGACGGATGTACAGTCGATACCGGTTTGAATGTTTGAAATATCTCTGGAACAAGTCGACAGAGTTATTTGTTGCATCCGGTAAAGAGATCCGGTGACGGTATTAACCGATGGAAGCTCGGCGATTAAACGAAGCCGTAGGAACGCTGACCCAAAACGTCGCTATTGATCGAAGTTATTCCAACGAATCGATCGATTTTAAAAATTGATCGGTTGTTTCATATTTCTGGATGCACAGTGTAGCACGGTTTCATCGAGCGGTTCCGCTAATAAATTAGCAAATTAGTCGACCGGCGATCGGGGCTTCAGACCGTCGTAAATTCCTTCTCGTTTCCCTCTTACTCGCGCCGGCATTCTGCGAATTTTATAGTTCATACGTTTATGCCCGGTGACATCGTTTATTCGCTTATAACGCGATATCTTCGTACGCTTACGTAACTAATGTCCATTTCGTGCACGATATCGTAACGGCGGCCGATAAATTAGAGGCGCGCCGAAACGCGCGCGTAAACGTCCGTCCGGACGTGAATTAATAAATCCGACGTTTCCAAATCGATTATTAGACCGTGTTTATTATGGACGTTTTATTGCGGATCCGAATTACTTTCCAGCGTCCGGTAGATCGCGGAATATTATGGTTAACGTCTTTCGCTATCGTTGGAATCGCACTTCGTCATTGCTATTTAATTACTTCTCTTAATCCCTCTTAACTGGGACACGACGGGAAAAGCGTTTACAGAAAAATCAGTGTTATAAATCTAGATTCAATGACAGTCCCTGTCAGTCAAGTCGCGATCAACTTTCGATTTACTTTCAAAAATTCATTCATAATTATCTCCTCCAGTTAAGGCTACACCTAAAACCCAATTTGATCAGTATTCTCACTTATCCGTACATTCTCTATCTTCTGTCAATTACATCTACTATCGATAAAACGAACCACAAGAAAAACTAAAGCCCTCTGATAACACAACGCAAGTTGTTCAAGATCATATCCCCAACATCTTCAAAAATCATCAAAATCAGAGACTCGAGCACATCGAGAACTTGACCCACAAGACTAACCTCTCTCCGATCAACGAATCGAGTGGCACGAAGGAAACCGACGCTAACCGAGGAAAACCCTTTGTCTTCCAGGTTCCCCGCTGCACCCGCACCAGCAATACGGCGCGGGCAGTCCGGGTGTGCGCAGCCTGCCGCAGCAACAGCACGCGCAACCGCCGGCGACCACCACGGACCCGTCGGTGGCCGCGGCGGACTTCAGCCTCGAGTTCCTGGAGAACCTGCCGACCGGTGACACGTCGAACTTCAGCGCCCAGGAGCTCCTGAACTCGCTCGACTCGACGGCGAGCTTCAACCTCGATATTCTGTAAGGCCACGCCACGTGGGGCGGTCCATTCGGGAAATCGGATCTAACCAGGGCCGGTCGGGACAGCGGCGGTGGCGGCGACGGCGACGGCGGCGGCGTCTGCGGCGGGGACGCGCGGGACCATGCGAACAGACCCACCCCTCCCGCGCACCGTCCCCGAATTCCTTCGCAATTCGCGCGTCGATCCGCTTGCCCGCGTGTCCCTCGGGAACGGCGACACGCGACGTGGAACGTGATCGTGCGGGCGAAGCGGGAAACAGCAGGGACGACGGAGGCAGCACGGCGATTGGTAGAAATAATTAGAGAAAGCACATCCGACGCGAGACGCTTCTGACACTAGGATCAACGAGTATTTATAGGACACGTGGTTCTCACAGAAATTATACGAACATCGTTCTCTACGTTTCCGGTGGCACTCGTAACGGTAGAAGCTGTTGAGTTCCGATCCTCTCGAGGCGGTCGGTGGATGCTTGTTACGTTCGGCAAACGCGTCGACCGTCGCGAGAAGCTTGAATTGATTACCGATGATTTGGTATCTTAGTTGCGCGACCGAATGTGTCGATTCGGCGCGAGTCTTCTTCCCGCGATCGCCTCCGAGAGATGGAGAACCGCGGCGGTCGACGCGTGGGGAAGTTGGAATCGCTTTGTAAACGGCTCACGCGTGCATCGTATCGTTTGCAGTTTAATGGAACGGGAGTTTAACGAGGTTCCGTTATGAGCATTAGCGATGTTACTTTCGATCGGTACTTCTAATAGAGGAAGCTTCGAGTTTCAACTTCGACTCGCCTACTGAGAAGCCGTCTCGAAAGGGTGGAGGGAATTTCGTGAACTCAACGCTTCCATCGGCGAGTCGCAAAGAGGACCGAAGCTAGTTTACAGTTCCATCTGATCGTTCTAGTGTCGAAGCGGTCCGCTGTTTACCGAGATAAGAGCACGTTTCCCCGCGACGATCACGGGCCTCGAACCGAGGAACGCCTTCCCGACGCTTCCGATTCGACGCGCGGCGCGAGCCCGTCGAGCCGGAGTGACGCTCGCGCGATCCGGCCGCGCGCTTCCCGTGTAATATAGTATCGACTAGCAAAAGAAAACTCTCGAGCCACCCCGTGAGAAACGAGTTCCGCCTCGGCGATCGTTCACCGTTTGAACACGCCGTCGTCGTCTCGTCCGTCGCGCGTCGCTCGAAGGCCGACCGTGTGTTTTGGGGGTGGTCGGAGGAAGAGAAGCGCGGAACACCCGGTTCGACGATCGCGCGCGTCGAGTAGTGCATTTTCGGCAGCTAAGCTTCGCGGCTGGCGACCTCTTCTTTCTAGGCAATCACATTTTTTAGGTAACAATTGAATTCTCTTAACGGTATAATCGGACACGATCGCAGGCGGGCAGGGGCGAGGAGGAGGATGATACAGCGCGCGCGAGCGCGTGGCGAATCAAGAGGCGGCGGAACTCGACGGGGAGGGAGGACAGCCCTGCTCGCGTTCCGTGTTCTTTTTCTTTCCGGCAGCGGCGGCGGCGACGACCGCGGCGCGGTACGAGTAGTTCTTTTTCTCTCGCCCTCGGTTCTTCTCGTTCCGGTTCCCTCGTTTCTTTCCTTCGCGGTCTTCCTTCGCCTCCCCCAGCTAGAACGGGGAGAGGAGGATCGGTCGACCGGCCGGTCGCTCGCGACACGAGTGCCCGCGTCGACGACACCGGCGGCGCGCTCGGTGGCTTCGACGGGCACTCCGCGGGACGGCGGAGACCCGTTCTCTTGATTTCTCACGCGACCCGGCGCGACGCTCTTGCGAACAAGCTCCCGACGAATGGAGCGACAAAACTTGGGGGGTCGCGTTCCAGACACGCCGCGCTCGAACGACAGTGTTCCGATCCGACGGTGTCGCGACGAGACGGCTGGGAGCGTAGCGTTATTTCACGACGGCCGCGACACGGCGTTATTCTACAATTAAACAGAAAGTCAATTATGAGGATACATTATTCGATCGACTTCTTCTCGTGGCCTGGCCGGGCCTCGGCTCGATCCGATCGGTCGCTTCGCGTTGGGTTCGTGTTTGCTGCGTGAATGAGAGGGTGAGAGCGGGAGTGTGACAGTGAGAGAGAGAGTGGGAGAGAGAGTGAGGAAGAGAGAGAGAGGACGAGGGAGAGAGAGGGTGTGCGAGAGAGAGTGCAAGAGAGAACCCTTCCTGAGGACGCGTCAACGTTGCTATGCCCGGAGTTAAACGGAGAGAGAAGGTGGATACTTTGACTGTACATAAGCATACACGAGTTAGAGAGAGGAATTTCGTGACGATAAGCTCGCAAAGTTTAGCCGATTATATGATTAAGGACCCTATGGTATAGGTGAATATTATTAATGATAATAGTAATTGACGATAGACGGTCGATACGCGTGACGAGCGAATGGGAATCGCGGAGAGAAAGAGAGAGCGCGAGAGAAAGAGAGAAAGAGAGAGAGAGGTGCAGAGAATAAGGTTCGGGAAAGGGGAGGATTGAGAATGGACGAGCGAGTATAGAGGGGGTGAGTGCGAGGACACGTGGATGTCGTGTAGAGGCGACGGAGCACATGTTCCCCCGATCGAGCGTATTTATTCAGTTTAGTTCCGCGGGGATGTGCTGCGTCGCGCGAACTTGCACACAAATAATCACGGTCAGGTGTGGACGCCGTTTCCGGCGCGACGAATCGATCTCCTTTACCGTTAAGCTGGTGTTTACCGCGCGAAATGTCAGGGAAGACGTCGATCTTCGTTTCAAGTCATCGGGGAAAGGTGAAGACTGTTCTATAGTCGCCACGTCGTTTGGTCGTTCAAGGTCGTCTCTCCCCACTCCAGCTTTCATGTTGCCGAAGCGCACGCCCCCAGGGCGGAGCGCTTGCGCTGACGATCTCGCGCCGAGGGAGGTGGAAACGATGGACGGGGCTCAGCGGCGAGCTTGAACGATCACTCGTTCTTGTCGTTCGATCAAGATTTCGCGTGAGGAACGACGTGTGACGTGAAAGGGACGCGGTTCGTCGTTGCCGGTCGGCTCCGCGACTAATCTTCCAAATAGTGATACATTCCATAGATAAAGAAAGCTGAAAAAAAGAAGAGGAAGGGAATGAAGTGAGGAATCCACGGTTCGTCTAATCAAAAATATCGTTTCTAAAAGCGGATGAGGGGCGTGGCTGGAATGGGGCGTGGCGGAGACAGCGGAGGGGGAACGTTTGACGGGGCCGCGACAGTCGAACGACCGATCGAACGAATGTACAGAGACACGCAGTAGGGGAAGGGGGCGGGGCGTGTGACGAAATGAAGGATAGTAGCGTAAGAAAACGATTAAAAGATAGAAAAATGATATCCTTGACCGTTCGCCGAAAGTGTGCACGAACAATTCCGATTCGGAGTTTCGCTTGTCATAAGTATATTTAAGGATAATTAACTCGCGCTCGAAAACGGAGGGTGACGGCGGAAGAGAAAGCGAGAGAGTGGGAGTTACAGGGCGGGCCAGGGGGAGTGGCGGGACGGGGAGGCGTGGCTAACAGCGGTGTGTCGCGCGACATTAGGAGAGTATAATTAATCGTTTCGTTTCTTTTCTTTCTTGTTTCTTGAATTCACATCGGGCGGTGCGTTTTATTATTGTCTTGTAAAATATTGGGGCCACGAAACATAATCTAAAACATGAAAAACGAAGAAAAAAAATACCAAAAAAAGAGGGAGAGACACAGTGTGTGTGTGTGAGAGAGAGAGAGAGCGAGAGAGAGGGAGAGAGAGAGAAAGAGAGATTGCTAGAAAGAGAGAGTGAGAGAGAGAAAGAGTAAGAGCCGTGTGCGAGAAAGTGTGCGTGAAATAGAGCAGAATTATGAGATATGCAGCTACTCTACGCTTCCAAAAAGATGGTCGACTACCTCTACACAAACTAAAATTTGCTCAGAGGCAATGCGAATCGTCCACTCGCGATACTCGATCGAGTATTAATCGATGGAGTATTTATTATTAATAAGAGTAATAAATAAATAAATAACAGCGACATTCGACGTCTCGGTTCTGGCAAGTTCTTGTTGACGACCGAGGCGCCTCACGAAGAATGGCAACCGAAACAAAAGGCGTTGAAGTGAGGAGTTCACGATGGAGGATGACGTTAGCGTAAGATTCCATATCCGCGGTTTCCTTGTGCCCAGGGAATCCCGCGAACATGGAGGCCCTGCTACGATGTATTAAAAATCTTCTTAGAGGAGATTAGATGAAGCGAGCTGACAGTTCTCTTTGTTCTCGCGTGATTCTAGCTTGTGAGCAACGTCGGTCACCTTTTGGGAGGCGTGTATCGATCCAGTTCTCGCGTCGATTGAACGTAGTGCACCGTGTACAGGAACAAAAATTGAAAGAGAGAGAGAGAGAGAGAATGATCAAGGACGAAGAGAAGAGACGAGGGGTCGCCGTGTGTTGTTCCGTTTCCCTTTTCGTTTGTTGTTGCCCTTTAGTTTTCTTCACGTATTCTTGGTTTCCGAAGTGATTTCTTCTCGTTTCTTTGTCACGTAACGAACGATTTTCGCGGATGAAAGTATCGGACGAGTAGACGCGAAAGTAACCGGAGAAAGAATGATAGGGAACGAGAGAAAGGGAGAGCGAAAGATGTGTGAACGAGGAAGTGACAAAGGGGAAGATTGACGAGAAATTGTTTGTCGGAGGAGAGAGTATCAGGGACCAACGAAACAAATGAACAAAACGAAGAAAAAAAAAGAAAAACATTGAGAAGTAAAAAGCACACATACACACGGAACACGAAACGAGAGCAACAAGCGTGCTGCTGGTGGTGTCGATCGTCACGGTGGATCGTTCTGTTTTTCTACGCGGTAAGAGATAGGGAGAGACAGCGGGAGAGTGAGCGAAAGAGTGAAAGGAAGAGAGATAAGGGGGAGAAGGACAGAGAGAACACGGAGAAAGTAATCGCAGTGCCTCGAGTCGCAATCGTGACCGATCACCGACGTTCAACCGATTAATAGGGCAAAAATCGACTCCCGAGCAACGAGACGCGCGCACGCTCGCTGGGCTCGTGCAGGCAGCGACAATATGGCGGACGATGGACGCCTTTCAAGGCGCGCTGTTTTCTCTCGCGCTGTCGGCGAAACACGATCATCACGGTTAGATAGGGGGGGAAAAAAAGGAACGTCGGTCTCGAACAATAAAATACAATGAAACTGGACGCAAAACGGGAAAAGTAGGAAAAGAATACAAAAAAAAAGAACAAAAGAATGAACGAAGAAAAGAATAAAAAATGGTCTCCTGGTGTGTCGGTTCGTCGAGCCGCCACGGTTCGAACGGACGCACCTCGATTATTTATAATATTTATAACTTTATATATGATATTACATGGGCATTTCGCGTTAGGATAAAAGAACAAACGAAACGAAACGAGAGAGAGAGAGAGAGAGAGAGAAAGTGAGGGAGAGAAAGAGTGAGAAAGAGAGAAAGATTGAAAGAGCGAGAGGTAGAGCGAGAGAAACAGAGAGACACGAAGGAGGGAAAAGTTCAATGTTGAATCTCGAACTGTTATTAATAAAATGCGTTGAGTTCCTACAAAAATTCGTTTGTTTAATTACTGATTGTCGTATTATCGCCGCGCGCTGGGGATTCGCGTCTCGCCGGTGGAACAATCGTTCGATACGATCCGCGGTGGGCGGTTGGGTGAAAACGAGCATCGGGAATGCATCCGCCGGTCAATGTGAATTCCCGGCGTTCGTGAAATCGGTGGAATACCGGTTTCGTCGAGCGCCGGCCGTGCGGCGGCGATCCATCCGTTCTCTCTTCGACGCGCGTCCGAGGGGTTGAATCTCCGTTCAACGGGCCGCAACGCGCGCCGCTCCGCTCGTGCGTTTTCGCGTCGGACATAAAAGGGACGCGAAAGGAACGTCCGCGCGCGGTGAAAATATTATTTAACGCGGCGAAATTCCGCCTGCAGCCAGCGCGATAATAAACAACGCGCGCGCTGGCCGGCCGTAAACGTCGAATTGCCCGCGCTATTTACCGAGGTCCGTAGCTTCGCTAATTGTCGGCCGCCCGTCGAATCCGCAACAAATCAGAATGGCCCCCGCGTTTCAATGGATCCCGGCGATCGGTTATTTACGCGCTGAAAATAATCGCGTCCACCGGCGAAGGTAACGGACACGCGACGGGCATTTTCATTCCCGGCGAATTCTCCTGGACACGTTTCCCTCGTTCCCCTCGCGTCGCTCGTTCGCGTACAACCCCTGAAAAGAATTATTTCGCTCCGACGATGTTTCGACATTTTGCTGTTCGTTTTTAACAAAAGATCTCGTCAGCTGGAATTTGAACTCGGTTTCTACTGAATTCGGTCCTTCGAATGATTCGTATTTCGGATGTTTCTTGATTTTTACTGCACTCAGATCGTTTAGTTACTGTTTAGGTGTACGTACTGCTAGGTGAAAGGGAGTCGACCGGCATTCAAAGTGAACGTTCGAGGTTTTTCCGCTACGATACGCTTCCGCGTATTTTTCCGTCGAGACGTCGACCCCCGGCTGTCCCTTATTTACCAAATAAACGAAAGTGTTTAGCGCCGCGGCAATATTCCAGCCGAAATTGACTTATTCATTCTATCTTTTTCGCCTCTAATATATATGTAAATAACTTTCCACCGTGCCGCTTCGATTCCTTCGATCGAACGCTCCGCGCGCCGGGGGTTGCGCAACTTCCCCCGGAAACCTCCCGTCGAATCCAGCGATCGGGCGAGCGGGTTCCCTCGAACAGAGGACCGCCGGATGAAAAATTCAACCCTCCGTCAATCTCTGCGGAACAATCGGTGTTGGAGTCTTCCCTTGGAACTGGTTCGCCGACGTAAAAATAGACTGCTTCGGGGAAACATCCGAACGGGAAATCCAAATCATTCGAAAAACCGAATTGTCCTTTGAGAAGCGAACGTTGTCATCATTTCGCGTCACGTACAAACGTGTAGGTTTTTAGAGAAATTCTTTCGCAATTCCACAATTGGCCCTTTATCTGCAGTTTCGAGGTATCATCTAACAAGTGAGACCGTAAGATCTGGCAACAATGTTCTTATATTATTCTCGAATGCAACCGTACCATCGTTCGAACGAAAACACGACCGAGTAGAAAGAAATTAAACGAACAAAGTGGCGCGAAGGAAATGGATCTGATCGAAAACGACTCGAGGAAGATGCTTTTCGTTGCTCCGATTCGATTTTTCCGTTCGCGTGGGTATCGGATGTCTTCTGCGGTTGCGTCGGCGATTACACGGCGCTTTGTTTACCACGGAGGAAAGTTTAACCGTTCGTTGGCACGTCGATCCCGACAAAACCTCCGCTCATTATCGATTCCTCCGAGGCCGTTGTTGCTAAGCGGATTCTCCGCGCTCGAAACTAATCCTCGGTCCCGCGACCGAACTCTCTATTAACCTGCATGTGTTGGGGTTGCGCAGGTTAACGCGTGGGTCACCGGTGACCCGAACGCCGGGGCTCCCCGCGGTTGAGCATCACCGCGGACCGTTAAACGCGAAAAACAAATCGCGGATGTGGGCCGCTGCACCTCTCGCCGTTGAATAATTCACCGAACAGAATTATTAACCCCTTGCCCTGATTTAAAATTCAATTTGTTAAACATGGATATCCCTCGGCTCGCTCGGAGCTAATCGAAAATGCACGCAAAGTGCAGTTTGTTAAATTAGAAGATCGTTTAAGTTGATTAGAAGCTGTGGTTCAACAACCGAGTGCTCCTTAACGATTTTTAGCGACGTAATTCCCGGCGAGTTCTTGGAAAAGCGAAAGTTCGGGAAGCTCGTCGAATTATCGGGAAGCTTGTAAGCCCCTCGAAGGATCCGCGATCAAAGAAAAAGAAACAGTCACGCTCGTCGAACATGATATTACATTTCTTTTCCTGCTATCCTCTAATCGGTTAACCATGGAATTTTCATTTAAAAATCCATCGTGACGCGTATAATAGTATCATTCAATTAGCATACACGTCGAACGTAGTGCAGATGCACCTAGCACACGTCAAAGCGGAAAAAGTCGAATGAAAAATTACATAACTTGGCTGAATGCATACTCGATACTTAAATCTAGAATCATTTTGAGTTTCAATTATCATCTACAATACCTTCGAAGCGCGAGAAAAATCAAACTCTTCCCTCATTGTTTCCGGTATGATCAAAGCTGATGAACCCCGACGAAGAAAATTACTCGGAAAGCTCGCAGAGCGAGGGGTTAACGATCTTCCACGAGAAGCGAGGAATCAGCGGAAGGGGCGGAAAACGAGAAAACAATGTTTGTTCCGCAGGCATCATTTCGTGGCATCTCCATCCGCGCGACGTCCTGACACTAGGTCGAACGGCAGCCTAACGCGTAGCCGCCACGCCGCGTCGCGTCGGGGGACAGGGGAGGAGGATCAATATCACGGTTAGGGAGAGACCGGACCGAGAATAGGAGCGAGAGCAGGACCGATGAGAGATAAGGATTACGCGGCGGGAGGCGGGGGCGGCGGCGGCGGCGGTGCTCGCGGGGCTGGGAAACTCCGAAAATGTCAATTCGACGTTCCCCGTGAAATTACGATCGTGACGAGGGTCGGCCGATCTCGCCGGACTTTTACGTTCCCCGGTTTACTGTCGCAGCTCGCGCGATAAAGCGAGGCGGCTGCGAGCTGCCCGAGGATTCTTGTTAACTCGAGAACCCTGGTTCCGCGGATGAACGCGGAGAGCAGTCGGGCATCTCATTTCGAGGTTCAACTTGTAACCGGGATAGAAATTTATTTATACAGGACGCTGACTTTAATTCTCGGGATGATTCGATGCACCGGTTGTAATCGAAATTAAAAACCTCTCCTCGGTATCCGGATGGAATTCCTATTTTCGACTTGTATCGGTTGTTATCTTTGGTAGCCAGGCTAACCTCGTTGCGCCGGGGGTTAGCGTCCTCGTTAGCGCTCGAATTCCGGTCTTCGAACTCCCGGTAGAATCGATGATTCGGTATCAGAATTCTGTAGGATTAATAAATCACCGGGCTTAACGAGGCGCTCGGTTCGAGCGCCCTTCGGATCGGGATCGGTTTAACCCGGGTTTGCCGATTCATTTGATATTAGCAGCTTGAATCTCGAAGATTTCCAAATGAATTCGCCGAACGTCGCTGTTGCTCGTTGCTCGCGAATCGAAACGAGAGACCAGTCTGCCAGTTTTCATGTTCAACCTTTAAAAAGGATCCACGTTTGTAACGAACGTGACGTTCTTTCCGACACTTCGCCCTTTTGCGAATGATTCTCCACAAGTCCTAGCAGTAGTTGCCACGAAGGAAATGATGAGGCGGGTGGTGAAACGGTCAAGTATTTATTAGCGACGGGGTAGTCAAAAGAAAAAGCGAGCGAGGCACGTGGCGGACATTTTTACGGGCCACGGGGAATCGGTGAACGCAGTCTAAATGGCGTTTTCTTCTTGCATCGTGGCTCGAGAAGAGATCGAGAACGCAAAGGAAAGCCGTTTCTCTCCCTTCTCGACGTGAAATCGATCCGAAAGGATCGTAGCGTACATATAGTCCGTGACGAACACGTTTTGCGCCGTTCACGGAGGCCATCTTGGATTTGGTTCGTTTCTTGACTGAGAACGTCGGTATGGAAGCCTCCCTCCTGATCCAGCGAGCCGTCTACGTTGCGACAGGGGAAGAAGCGACTGGGTGGGGGTGAAACTGCTCTGCTATACTCTCTCTCTTTCTCTTTCTCTTTCTCCCTTTCTCTTTTCGTTGCTACCGTCACTCTGCGCAAGTAGACCGCGGACGTTTCAGCAAGTTCACATTTTTATAGAACAATTTACACTCACGAGAATTCAAGGGAAACGTAGTCCTCGTACCGAGAGTTTTACAAACGAAGGAACGAACGAATGAACTAATTAGAGATTAGGCTCTATTGAGCTCGGACGATCGAGTTCCGTCGTCGTCGAACTCGAAGGCAGTGTTGCTTTATCGTACTCGTCGTGTAGGTGAATTTTATAAATGCAACGTCTGCGGTCTATCGATGACAGTGACGGTGGATCTTCCCTTCCATCGGAAGTTCGCAATTGCATCGCCAATTTCATGATTGAATTGTGCTTCTCCGTTTCGTTTCCACGTGATTATGTTTCGCTAACGGATAAATGGAGAACGAGTTTCTTTGCTGGAATTTCTTTTACCGGACGACTCCTCGACACGTCGATACTTTTTTCGACAACTATCTGGCGTGCCTCTCGCAAGCACAACGAGAAACAACCAAGAGAAATTGCGTTTGTAAGATCCATTTCATGGAATTCCCTGGAAGTCCTACCACTATTAACACTAGAACATCCGAGCACTAAAACTGACTTCAAATTTTCCTATAGAATCTCCAAGGGTATCTATCGAGATTGCACTCGATCTACTCCAATTTGTCTATTACCGAACGAACTTCAGAAATCTCTTAAAGAAGCATCTTGTCTTTTCAATAATTGGAGATAAAGAATATAAGAGCAGATGATTTCGATCCATCTGCTGGTTCTAGTGTTAAGAATCTTACAGAGGCTCTCGTTGATAATCGGTGAACTTACGAAAGGCACGCCTCGCGTATTCGATGTACTCGAAACGAAAAGCTAGAGTAAATTCTTCGAGGCGAGATTCCCGTCGATTCTCCTATTTTCCTTTCCATTCGTCGTTCGCGACTCGAGTAGCCAGTTTTAGCGGCGCGTCCGACGATGGATGCCGCGCGAGTCAAAGTCGAGAAAGGGGATGAAGGAACCGAAGGAACGAGATGGCGCGCAGCCGCGCGGATCCATCGCCGCGTGATCGATGCACTCCCGGCGCTATCGTTCTCAACGATTGTGATATATATATTGTTAATGCTGTAATGATAACGGTAGACCTAGCAACTGGCTCGAACGACGGGCACGGGGAACGCCGTTGTTCGCCTGGCGTCCCGAGGAGATTCCATCGAAATGGACGGCGGCGCGCGTTGTCCCGGCTCGTTTCGATCCTCGCCGATGTTCCCTTCGACTCGTTGAAAGTCGGCTCGGGGATCCGTGCCGGTTCCTTCGGGAGCGAACGTCTCGACGTCTCTTGCTCTGTTCACGGCGGATCGGCGGGCGAGAACGGGGCACCGATCATTCGGCGGGATGAACGTGCGGGAACGAGACACTGACGGGAGAGGTAGGGGATGATCGAGACGGAGCGCGCATGTTTCAGGCTGTAAGGGAGAGAACGAGAGAGTGTTCTTCAGTGTGGCTGAATCGAGGTGCGAGGAATACGTTGATTGTAAATATGCGCATTTGAGAGAGAGAAAGTGTATGTATCTTTGTATGTTTCAGAGAGAGAAAGAGAGCGAGAGAAAGTAAATTGGGTGAATAGTGTTGCGTTACGATTATTTATGTTGTTGAACGAAAGTTTCGATAGTGAATTATAATTAATGAATTATAATTAAAGAACAGTTAGGAAGAGAGAGAGATATCGCGAAAGAATACATGGAGGTGGACAGACGGACAGACGGAGGGACGCGCAGTTTATGTACATAAGCTATTGGGTAAAATATCTCCGTTGGTAAAGGATAGTTTACGAATAGTTATTTTTATTACTACTATGATTATTATTAATTTTTATTATTAAGTCACTATTATTATATTATTATTATTATTATTATTATTATTATTATATTATTATTATATTATTATTGTCATATGATGATGATAATAATGACGATGATTATTATGATTATTATTATTATTACTTATTACTATTGTCATTATTAATATTATAATTAATTATCATTGTTATCCTTCGGCCAATGATCTCAAAAGAAAGATAGTAATTGCGTTCGGATGAGAGTGTTGCTGGATCCGAGCCGATTTCGATTCCCGTCGGAGGCCACCGCGCGGATCACACGCGAATCGTTTCGTTGGTCGTTCCGAAAACCGTTTCCTTCTATACACACACATACACAAACACACACACACACACAGGTTCGTTCGTCAGGTTTCCTCTTTGTCGATCGTTCTTCCAGTTTCTTTTCCGGTGTCTATCCTCTCTTTCGTCTCCCTCGTTTCCGGCTCTGTCCACTCTCCGGACGCGTTCAACGACGCGCTCGAAGATCGGAGATCCTTCGTCCACCGATCCTAACCGTTGCTTCTCCCTTTTTCTTCTTTTCCGTCTTCTTCCCCTCGAGCGTGTCGAGCGGCGCGACATCTTCGACGCTCCTCGCAGCGACGCGGTCATTCCAGAAGAACGAGAAAAGGGAAAAAGAGAATTTCTACACGCGTCCCGTTCCCCATTCTTCCATTCCTCCTCCTCGAGAGTTTCCCTCTTCCCCTATCGCGGACTCCTCGTCCTTGGAGCGGCTCTCTGGCTCTGGCTCCAGAGACGCGGAAGCGTACGCCTTATTAGAGAATGTAACGCGTTCCTTTTTCTTTCTTTTCCTCGCGTGTCGGGACATCGCGCATTCTTTCATTGCATAAGAAGGTAAACACGGAGGCCGGAAGCAGACGCCATTCGTCCGTGTCGGGGGCGGGCCGACCGATCGCGCGCGATCCTCGAGGACAGCGAAAGGAAATCGGAGGGATTTATTTTAGTGGAAAATCGACGACAACGTGTATCGGATTAGGACTTTGGAATAACGTTTTTCTATCAGCATTTTTCGTTTATCTTCGTGGAAGATGTTCGCGCGAGGAACGCGAGAACGGGGCCCGTCGACGACACGCCGCGATTCCGTTTCATTTCGACCTGTATTCATCGATTCGTTCGAACTGTTGCTTGCGGAGATGCTGAGGTAGAAACGAAAAATATAGAAAGAGAGAGAGAGAGAGAGAGAGTGAGAGTGAATGGGAGGCTGAGAGAATGCGAGAGAGAAAGGGAGAAATGCAGAATGACGGTTCAAAACGATGCAATTTCGAAAGTGACCTATTTCAATTGATTGAATTCCGTTAGAACTGACGGCGGTGCAACGCCGATCAAATTATTCATGAACATGTTTTATCAAACGAGAGTCAAGACATTTTGTCATGTCTTTGTATATTTTTATGCAATGTTGTAGAATGATATTGTTTCAAATATATTATACAGATAATGATAATAAACAAATTTATATGCCATAAGCGGTGTCTCCTTTGTTCACCCTGGTACGTTTGTGCTGCATGATCGTTTATCGTAAAAATAAAATAACTATAAGTGTATTTCTTCTTATTCGAATATTGCATATTACTCACTACCACTGCACATTACTCGTTAAAACTACACGGTGAGTTATATTCAATTTTAAATTGAATTTTCAAAAGGCAACGTTTAATTGTGGCGCCATCCGTGGCGCAACGCTGAAACTGTTAGACGAATAGCGCCATCCGTGACGAAACGCTGAAACTTATAGAGAAATGGTACCTTAGTTGGTCAAGTGCACGAACCGTTTGTATCAACAGTTATTCCGGTAGAATGGACTACCACGAGAGGCATGATGAAGTGGACAATGTAAATTATCTGTTGTTGGTTGTGTGACTTTTTTTTTTATTTTGGTACCATTACTGACAGGAGGCAGGGTAGACTCTCGCTGATGTCGACCTACGGTTCAAAGGTGAACTTGCCCCTGAAGTATAAACCTGTGGCGGTTAGTGTTTAGTTTAGACATCTCACCGCCAGGTGACACTACCATTTAACTGTTCTGGGAATATAATGCGGTAAGTGTCAATTCTGATTGAAGTGTATTTGAAGGAATTGTGTCATAATGGTCACAGATGGTTTTGTGATGAAGAAGGAAGCGTTTTGTCGGTGACAGTATCTGAGTTTAAAACTTATTAGTGTTTTATTTAATTACTTTTGTATGGAAACTTGAGAGAAGTGTTACTTTATATAGGTAAATAATTCCAGTTGTGAATAATTGTGGTACATAAACACTTAACCAAAAATGGCAGTATCCATAGGTAAGTTTTAATTGTATATTTAAAAAGAAACATGAATTGTTTATTTAATACTGATGTATTTATTTCAGAGAATGTGATATCAATGTTTAATGTTCTTTTTGATATCAGAAAGTTAAATCGTAATAGATTGACAAAGTTTTAAGATTCATACAGGATTTTTATTTTATTTTTTAGATTCAATTGCATATCTTTTTCTTGTGGCACTTTTATGGGGTGCCACCAACCCATATATTAAGAAAGGAGCTGAAGGTTTAGAGAATGTGAAAGCATCTTCGAAGTTCAAACAGTTTTTTAAAGAACTTGCATTCCTACTTACAAATTTGAAGGTGTCTTCTTAATTGTTTCGTTATATTTGTATGCTAATGCATTAGCTTTTATTTAATTATATATTGTTCTAACATTTTTAGTACATTATACCATTTGTCATCAATCAAATTGGTTCTGTGTTGTACTTTTTACTGCTGGGTGGTACAGATTTATCATTGGCTGTTCCAGTTACCAATTCTCTTACTTTTGTAGTAACTGCAATAACAGGCTGGATGTTGGGTGAAGAAAAGATACACAAAAGTGTGCATATAGTTTGATGTCATCTGATACCCATTATAATTTTGTTATAAAGATTATATGTTGAATCACTTTTATTTCCAGATACATATATTGGAATGACACTGGTATTGGTTGGAACAATTCTTTGTTGTTGTGATAAAGTAGAGGAGACTGTATTATCTTAATTATATTTAATACTTTATTGACTATAATAAAGACATATATGTATATGTTGAACTATCGTTAGTACTGAAATTACCTTTAAATTTCCCAGATAAAATCATATTTAAACTAAGATTAAGTTGGTTGACACAGTGTGAGTCCATGAAATGTATGATCCAGATTTAAGAGAATACTATCAGCTTTCAATTTTAGTATAAATTTGTTGATTGAACTGTTTGGAATTAATCCTCCCCAAGGATACATCAGAAAGTTGATCAAATAAGAAAGCAACATTTAACACATATCAGACAAAGACATGCACAGTTCTGGAAAGACACGTTATCCAATGAATACACAGGAAAGGTATTCCCAAATTAATGTTATTTGTTAACACTAGTTGCATGCTGTTACAAAATAAACGGAATATAATTATAATACTACGATGTTTTATTAGCGTCGAAAATATTCTGCATTATGTTCATAGCACAGAGTAACATGAGGTACACTGTGCTTACATATTTATTTATTTCAAATTATTTATTGTGTTACAAAATATAGTTTATTCTGATACTTTCATCTTTAGGCATTTTAACACGTCTCTTACATATATGATGAAATAATAACTATGTTAATAGTTAATACAAACTTATTAATGAATCAATACAAATGGTCAATATATCCATTATATTTACATGCAAACCGTAATAGTTCACATATATACATATAACGCAAAGTAGCACCAAACAGACAATTCACGTTGCAAAAAAATTCCATAGATTCATAAAGATGATTCTATATATTACAAATAGAATTTCGTGGTTCTTCCGAGTAATCGTTATTCGTTGGTGACAGTGTCGA